AATTTTTATTTTATTTTATGCCATTTATCAAATAATTCGTATGGGTTATGCACAGAATCAGGGCTGAAAATTCATGATACTGAGTTTTTCAGCGTGGAAGAATTTCATAAAAACAAGATTTTTCAACTTTGGTCTGAGAAGTTTCTCATAAGGTGCAATGCTGTATAAATCTCGTTTTAGTGACCTCATCTTAGGCTGGAATATCATTATGATGGATATGCATGTCATAGCATGATAGAACTTTATATTCAAAAATTTTCCTCTTGCTTTCGTCAGGGAACGAGACTAAGAAATTATGACATGCCTAAAATTTTTCGTTTCAAAAGCTTTTCACGGTATGTATGCTACCCATTTCCCACATAATTTCAGTCTAGAATGCGCTGGATACCATGAATCTCAATGCAGCAAGTTTTTTTTCTTGAAGCAACTTTTTATCAGGTCCCCCGGAGTTTATTTTAACAAATATGCTCTGCTTGTATTAAGCACCTTTCATTAGATATCCTTACACAGAATAAAATCGTATGCTTGATAGATGCTTGCTGGCGTATCCTTGCTTCTGTGCATTGGCTATTTAATCATTTGATAAATGGCAGAAAACTGGAAAAAATTGAGCTATAGTCCAGTGTTCCAGCTTCACCAAAAAAGCAAAAATGGCTTTTGCCACGGAATTTCACTGTATTATATGGTATATTTGAGTGGGAACAACATCGACAATAAAATTCTCTACTTCAATATTTGCNGGAACAACATCGACAATAAAATTCTCTACTTCAATATTTGCAGAGGAGCCGCAGGAGAGTGAAGATGGCGTCTGTCCGAGACAAAATGGTCGATACGAGCACCAGGATCCGACGGTTTGCGACCAATACGTGGAGTGTACTGATGGCACTTGGAACTTGCTCAATTGTTCCCCTCCACTCCACTACAGCTCAAAAATAGGCCAGTGCACTTGGCCATCCGAGGCCAAGCGAAAGGGTTGCAAGACGAAGAAGAAACGTACGTCCCCTGAAAAATTCGATGCATGTTTGAACTTTGGTTTCGCCCGGAAACTTGTTGGCATTTATTCCTTTCGTATCTCAGTATAACTATTCAAAGGGTGAAAAACTCGCGGATCAAACTTCACTGCTAATTTTTGAATGAGGTGCACCCCGTCAAATTAATAAACGAATTTTACGTATGCATAATCAATAATGGAATTGCGGTGAATCTGCGGGCGAAAACGGCTAATTGACGGAGGCTTCGTTGAACTCAGAAAGACATTTTCGTCTTATAAATTCAAAAACAATTTCCTGAACATTAAATTTTGCTTGATCTATTATAAACATAATCTTTGCTTCTGATTTCGTCGTACATTTTTTAACATTTCGTTGAGGAGGCAGTTGAAAAATGGACAAGTTTCTCATACTCAAACTGTTTTGAAAGTAGGATTCATTTTTTGTTGTTGAAAGAAGTGGGAAAATGAAATATCCTGGGTGAAAAGATATTGAGATCTGTAATTCAATTGAAAGTGGTTGAATCAGATAGATTTTTGCCGCATGGTTTGTCAAATTTCTCAGAGATTTCAGCTTCAACAGGAATTTTCCATCAGAACCAAAAGTTATACATTCTTATCTGTCATGTTTATCTCCTTCTTTATCATGTCTGCTCCCTTCTTCAATCGTCGTTGTTAGCATTGAAGAGAAAAAAAAAAGAATTTTAGAGGATTAAAAATATACAGTATGTTTCTTTCTCCAATAATAGTAAATTGTAAGAATGAGAAAAGAAAATACCGTAATACATTTATTGCGGTATCTTCAATTGGATCTTGTCTTCTCGCCAATTTGAAATTGATTCCAAATTTTTCTAATTTTTTTTCCTCGCAGGTCTTCCCGACGGTTTTGAGTGCCCAGATGTAGACACCTCAACGTTGCCCGGGGCAGCCCCGAAAAACCCGAACCCAACGTTCTCACACAACACGAGCTGCACCCAGTTCTACGTGTGCATCGGCGGAGTCGAACCCAGGT